GGGGGGGGGGGGGGGAGGGGTTGAAACAAAACTGAGGATCTTCATCTCTTTCACCCTGCAAAGGAGAGAGAAGCAAGGAAACTCTGATCCTCAGTATACATCGTTAGTCTCATCATATCAAATGGGTGGTGGTCAACCTTGCTAAAGATCGGTGACCCTTTTGATCTATGTATTCTTCGCTATTATTCAATGTTGTGAAATCACCATCCTCTCCTTACATTAGGGGATTCAATTATTGCTATGATTAAATTTTATGTTCCGCTATTCTTCTTGTTCTTATCTTCTGCCTCAGATCTAGGACGAATTATCTTTGGCTAGGATTTATCTCAAATCTTCCTATTTAATTAGTTTATAAAAAGGTTTAACACTTTTTAGTCAAACATAGTTTAGTCACACTAACTATTTTTGTCTAGATTTTAATATTTCTTTAATGGGTGTACCCAAAGCAAATTGGTCACTTACTGTGGACCGGAGAGAGTATCGAATAATACAAAGACAAATTCAACCTTTTGCTCAACATTAAATATGGGGCAGTCGTAATTCAACGGTATTAAATAATCTCTCAGGATGTTTGGCTGGTTTTCTGTGATTTTTTAGGGACCTTTTTCATCTAGCAAAAACTAGTGAAGATAAAAATACAAAAGAAGAGAGTTAATCATCTTATCATGGTTGCCAACTAAATGATTATTTAAGGTATAGCTAGCTCCTAAATAAAAAAAATCGTGTATGACAAAAGGAGGAGGATAGTAAAGGTAGTCCTTGTCATTTACTCCTACTATTAATCTGCTTAACAGGCTGTCAAAGGAAAATTTTGAATGATTACTTACACCATACATCCTAAATTTGTCTTTTACCTTTTGCCTATCATCCTAAATGGTCGTTTAGTCGTTTGCTTTTGCCATCCATCCAAAATTAACATTCTCACTCGGCTCTCAATCAACAACGAAGGTTGCTTACATCCTATATTCGTTTTAGAAAATTCATTAAAGATATATAAATATTTAATTAAAAAATCAATAACTATAACGAGTTATGAATTTGACATTAAGTGTAGAGTCTTTAAACTTCAAATTTTAACTTTGTCTTTGTTCTCACTAAGTAGTAAACCACTGAAATATGGAAGGGATGTGAAGGAAGGTAGGCAGTTGCCTAATGCGCCAAAATAGAGTATATTGGACGTTACCAATATGATTCGTCTAAGAAAGGATTTATGTTAGTAATGAAATGAAGATAAGCTGTCAATTTGTCAATATATATATATGTTTTAATGTCAAATAATGCTACTACTTACTGAGTAAGCAAACGCATATACTTAACCTATCAAAATTCAAAATTATTTAAAGCAAAGAGATTTGACTTTGTAGCAGAAAGAGCAAAGTTTAGCCAAATGACAAGTGAGATATATCAAATAAAAATAATCCGAAACAGTTTAATAAGTGGAAAAGCAGTGCATGAAAACCATGGCTAACTTTTTCTTTTCTTTCCTTTTTCTATGAAAAGTTATCGCAACTTTAGTAAAGCTGTAAATGGTGGATTAACTTTTTGGGAATTATTCATCCATAAAGGGGAAAAAGGTGTGTTTACATTGATACCACTTTAATTTTGAGCATCTCGGATCTATTCATACTTATCAGTTACTCTATCCGGTCCACAATAAGTGACAAATTTGCCTTGGGTACACCCATTAAGGAAATACTAAATTTTAGATAAAATTAGTTAGTGTGACTAAACTATCCTTAATTAAATGTTGCAGCATAATTTAATGTAAGGAGTAAAAGACTTTTTAGGGATACGTACATAAGAGTAATTTGAAAAAAAAATTTAAATTTTTTCTTGATTATATAAATGGACACTAATTTTGGACCAAAATAAAAAGGCAAATTGGTCACTTATTGTGGACCGGAGGGAGTGGTTGCTGTGGATCCTCTATATATAATAATTAATCCCCAAAACTTTGATAAAATCGTAGGGGTCATTTGGTTGGGACATAAGTTATCCCATGATTAGCTATTTCGGGATTAATTATTTCACCCTCTCATGAGGATAAAAAATACTACGATCCCAGAATAACTAATCTCAGAATTAGTTATCACGATTGTATCTCAACCAAACATGAGATAAACTCAACTCAAATTTAATTTTGAAATTAATTATCCCTTATCCCTCGTACCAGATGAGTCCTTAGTGTTCATAAACCTAAGTCAAATGCCACCTAGTGTAGCGAATATATTCCTCTCTATAATCTTCTAAGAAAGACACCGTATAATGAAAAGAACTCACCGACTCTTGATGTCAATTGCATTAGAATTTAGAAGCGGCAGAGGCTTAAAGAAGGAATTTAGAACTTTTCTCTAGTTCTAGAAATAAGATTAGAAAGAGTGATTTTGTGACTCCCAATGATGATAGACAAGATAGAGAATTTTGGTAATTGGAGGTGTAATTGTAACTTTAAGTATTATTTTTTTAAATTACTAATATGTATAACAATATATTATTAGTGCAGTGACATATACTTGATAGAAAAAAATGAGCAAACTAAAGAGGCAGGTAAAAGCAAATTGAGGAAGGTAAGAGGAAAGCAAAATTTTATTACTAGATGGGGTAGGAGTGGGTAAAATATGTATTGAGCCTTTAAAAAATAGGACTTTATTAGTAGTAGTACGTAATATTTTGTTTGCTTTTCTTGGTAGGCTTTTATCTATTTTTCATAGTATTATTTTCCTTCTACGACTCTTGGGCATTCCGAGACTCGCTGCGATATTGGATAGTATAGGCGCATCAAGGTTGAGGAAGTTATGGGGCTATGCATAAGATGAAAAGTGGTAGAACTATCGGGCCTGACGAGATTCCGGTAGAATTTTGGAGGTATGTGGGTAGAGCAGGTTTGGAGTGGCTAATTGGGTTATTTAATGTCATTTTCAGGACGAAGAGGATGCCGGATGAGTGGAGGTGGAGTACGGTGGTTCCGTTGTATAAGATCAAAGGTGACTTACAGAGTTGCAACTACTATAGGGGTATCAAATTACTGAGCCATACCATGAAAGTTTAGGAGAGGGCGTGGTAGAAGCGAGGGTGAGGAGGACAGTGTCTGTATCAGACAA